GCACATTGATGACTGCAGCGAGCTGTATGGGCACAGCTGGGTACAACTTTATAGCATGTTCATTCTACTCACCGGGGTTTATGCCTAGGGTCAGACTTGGATACATGTGTAGGTTTGTGTCAGCTGTGCTAGCTAATGGATTTATTTAGACTAATTAAGTTCATTGGCAGAACAATTGAATGGGGGGGGGGAGGAAGGTGTGGAGGGCAACCATGGATGCCAGGGACAATGGGGGAGGAAGATGGGACATAGCAGAGGGTGGGGGATGGGGAATTAGGGATGGCAAGACAAAGGGCAAGGTATGCAGGACGTAAGAATTGGAAAATTATTGGCTGAGAACATGTATGTGGATGTGCTTGATTGAGCCAATGCACAGTGTATTTTGATGGAAAATTCATTTGTGTGTTGTGATGGTGTAAAGTGAATTAATAAAAAAAATAAGTAAGATGACTGAGGGATATAGAGGTAAGAGAGAAATACTTGTTTGTTTAGTTAGGTAGTTAGTTTTGGTTATAGTTTTTATTTATTTTTTATATATTTGATAACTGTATATTATTACAGAACACCAAGTGAATTTTACCATCATGAATACACTGCATACCAGTCCTTGTTTATAAATATGATAACAGTGTCATCAGTCACTGAGAGATAATAGCAGTTTTCACGTTGCAAGTGTTATGCACAGACATCTCTCTGAAAGGCAGGATGTCTAGAGACATGTTTTAGAACTAAAGCTGTTTTTTCCCAACCATTTATAGATGATAATATATTTATAATATTCTGTTAAGGGTAGATATATTTTTCCTTCTCTCTCTCTCTGTTCCTTTACCAACAATGCTGGATGAAACTAAACATTCATTGGGAACTGTGGCTCATGGTGTTCTATAATTCTCATAGAACAGAATATTTTGAAGACGCTCAACAAATAATTTTGATACACTCTTCTAAATGGGTATGTGTTGACTCCCTAACCCATTCAAGAATCTCTGAGGTGCAAAAATTAAATGAACTGAAAAATTGTAGAACCTCAGTTTTCTCTTCTAATCAAGGGGAGAGGCAGAGAAAAATTCTATGCATTTACAAGCAGCTGAATGCACTTTCAGAGTATGCAGAGGAGTTTCAGAACATAGAGAATGTAGGGACAAAATCTTAACAAAGATTGTTACAATTGCAGAAACTCTTTCCAAGGAAAAAGACCTATGGTCATTTAAAATTCCAGAGCATTTACTAGTTTAAGCTGGGTGCACTGTGCAAACACAAGTTGTTGCAAAAGCTATGTACTATTATGAAGAAAGGGCACAGAAACATGGGAAATGCTTTTTATTTTTTTTTTTTGGCACATGTGCTTGTCAGAGACAGAAAGAGAGAAAAGGAGAAAACACCCTGTCCTGCCAAATGCCCCAATGAAGTGTGGTTATGCCACAATTCCATCTCCTCCATTTCTTCATCCTGCCAGGATTTGGGGCATACATCTGGCATGTGTTTCAAGCTGCTTGGGTCAACATCCATGGTCCATGTGGGATCTGGCTCCTTAAACCATTAGGCCATGGGCTAGCCTAGGAAAAACCTTCTTTTACTCAAGAGAAGACAAAACTCATACCACTTAAAATAGGTATACAATGATGTCTTTATTTTCTTTTCAAAATTTCTAAATATTTTCACTTTGCCTAAATGAGTAGGAGGCAGTGCTCTCTGGAGGTATGTTTAGATAATAAACCAAGAGATCATCAAAAGAAATAACTCATCCTAGGAGTAAAAAGCAGTGGTGGAAACTGAACCAAGATCAGGAGGGAAGGCATTCTTGTCTATTTACACCTGAGCACAAGTACTAGAAGATTATAATGAAAAGAAAGAAAAATAGGAAGAGGGCAGCAGGGAAGAGAACAGGGTTGGGGGAAGGTAGTAATCTGAAATGGTAACTATGATCTTGCAATACCATATTTAAAAATGAACAAAAAGATGAGACCAGCAGTTAGTGTCATGGCTATGTTGCTGGACTCCCATGTAGTCGACCGCAGTTTGCGTCCTGGACCCAATGGCTTAAAACTCATGCCGGGCACGTGTGTGTGCGTGCCCAAGATCCCAAGAGGAGAATGGAGGAGAAGGGATTGCAGCGTGGCCATCCCCCCTGGGGGGTGATTTCTCGCTTTCTGTCTCTCTGTCTCTCTCTGTTTGTCTGGCAAGCGCACGTGCCCTATAGCAAAAACAAAACAAAACAAAACAAAACACTCTTTAAAAAAATGAGATGGGACCAGCAGTTAGTGTAATGGCTATGTCGTTGGACTCCCACATAGTCGACCGTGGTTCAAGTCCCGGACCCAGTGGCTTAAACTCACGCCAGGTGCGTATGTGTGCGTGCCCAAGATCCCAAGAGGAGAATGGAGGAGAAGGGATTGCAGTGTGGCCATCCCCTCTGGGGGGTGATTTCTCACTTTCTATCTCTCTGTCTCTCTCTGTCTGTCTGGTGAGCACACATGCCCTATAGTGAAAACCTCTCCAAAAAAAAAAAAATGAGCAAAAAGATTAGTGGGTATTCAATTTGCTGTACCCACCTGAATTATTTTCACTTTTCTTGTCTTTGAGCTATTTAAAAACTCTGTAAGTTATAAAAAAAAAAAAGATAATAATGATCTTTGTTCCTAGAAATATAAATGAATAATTTATGGTAGAATGCAACTAATTAGAACTTTGTGAATAGATCTTTTTGCCTCTATTCGAACATTTATTTAAGCTTTTCTTAGTGCTTACATATATGTGGCTTAAAGGATTTTCTTTGGAGCCAGTTATAACATCTTACTGCTTGCCTGATTAACTAATGAGTTAACATCTTTGACATATTTGTAACTGCATAAACATCACCATTACATCCTCTTTTAAAAACTGTCCTTTAACAGTGTTTATAAAGTAGCATGGCTGACAGCATTTATAAAAATGAACATAGTTTTTTGTTTGATTTTTGGCTAGATATTTTTTTAAAACTGCACTCACTGGAGAGAGACAGGGAGGTGGGAGGGAATATGAAAAAGCAACCCCCCATGGGGGAATGTCCATACTGTGATCCCGTCTCCATTTCTATTTTCAGGATACACATACACACATCTACATAGTGTGTTTCTCAAGGTGTGGCATCTAGGTTTCGAATTGTGCAGCCAGCCATGTGAGATGCAGCTGCCTTAACCATCATGCCACTGGCGAGCCCGATCATTGACTTTTACTGTCTAATTTGTGAGGAAAGGGCTATGGGTCTCTGTACCACCAACGTCAGTGGTAGGATGCTCCTTTCTGCCTGTTCTCTCCCTCTCTTCCTTAAAAAACATTTATTAAAAATGTATTATGAGTTAGAACTAGGCTGGGTCCCAAAGATATCAAACAAAGGGGTTTGCAGTGGTTGCTTTCAAAGGGATTATAATCTAAAACGAAAGGTAACCAACATGCAAAGTGGTATTTTATGTAACAATTAGAATTGGAAACATGGCCCAACAATGCATTGCAGGTCTTTAAAAAAGTGACTTGGAAATGGAGAACGCAAGCAATTCTATTGGAGAAGGAGTTAGTAAAGGCTTTAAAAGAAGTGACACCATTGGTGTTTACCACTGTCACCATTATTAACTTCAGCAGCCACTAGATAATCCACTACAGTGAATGAGAGAAAGAGAACAATCTCACCAAGTAGCCCAGAG